TATGCTTTCCACTCTTTAGAAAGGATTTGGCATGGCTTACTTACCAAATATAGATATATTTATACCTATATTGAACTGCAAGCCATCTGACTCCAAGCCTAGGATATATATATAGTGTGTGTGTGTATGTATGTATGTGTGTGTGTGTGTATATATATATATGTCACTAAGCTAAGCTAAATCCTTTCTAAAGAGCCAGGGTATAAAAGTAGACACTGACAAATAGCAGCTGGAACAGACAGGTCTCTTGATGGAGTTTTGGGGATTGATAACTACTACACGTCGCTTCACTTTGCCCCCTGCTCCCCACCCCCCACCCCAGCATTTCTTAAGGCCACTAGGTGCTGTCGGCACCACTGGCAGAGCAAGTCCAGCCCCATAGCCGACACCTGGAGCCAGAGGTGCGTCCCTACAGAGTCAGGGCTGCCTTCCCATTGTTGGAATTTGATCTCAGACCATTTATTTACTTCCTCCCACCTGTTTTGTGTTTTCCATTGCCAACAGGACTCCTTGTGGTCAAACGACACTGTGCATAAAAATACTTTGTCAACAATGAAGCATTTTTCAAAACTCAGGCTCTGCATTTTGCTCTGTGTATTCTCAGCCTAATTATTCAGTGTAATTTTTTTATCCATGCTAGCAAACTAAGAAGATGGTCAAAGGAAAGCGAATTCTCAGATGGATTATAGTGGGCTGCAGGCTCAAAGACAGGGGCAGGGAACGCTGATCTGAATCCTAGCAAGACAGAGAGAGAGAGAGAGAGAGAGAGAGAGAGAGCACCCTTTCAAAGCCATGATCTCTTCTCTCTGCCCACAGTGTTTTTGTCATTATAGGAGGATGATGGCCATTGGAGTACCATAGCTATGTGTAGAGTGCACCCACAACTATTCCAACGACCTCATAGGGATGTCTTTAACCCCTTATGGGAGCATGAGGTGAGGAGAGATTGAGGGCTTGTTCAAAGTCATTTGGCCAGCAAGTACCCAAGTTCAGATTTGAACCTGATCCATCTGACCCTGAAGTCAGCATCTTTTCGTTATGTTATGCTGCTCCATGGAGGCCTCATGTGCCAGGCCCTGGCCCTGGTGCCATGGATTGGAGGGAAAGACATTCAGATGGGGTTTCTATGGGCGGTACATGTTTTCTTCCCCTGGTATCTGGGAGCTTTTGTGGGGTCTGTCCTCTGTGGCCCTGCCTTGTAGCAGGCCACATGGTGAGCAGAGATTTTCTGGGTCCTTTTTCACAGGTGCTATTATGTGCATTTATCTCTGCAGAGCAGCCCCCTCCCAGGTCTCTGGTCTGGCATCCCTCATAAATACCCACTGATGGGCTATGGATTGATTGGACCTTAGTTGTGAGGGTGTGGAGAGACTCGCTAAGCTGCTCCTGGCAACTGTGGGGCTGGTTCCCCCTCTAGGCACAGCCCGAAGTCACTGGCTCATAACACACCTCCCCACCCACTGGGAGAAGAGAGAGAGGCAATCATGTCAGAGCCTGAGATGTGAAAACTGCTTGATTGCCACCCCACGTCCCCCCTGCTGCCCTTTCCTCTGGCCTCCCTGGAAGTGACACTGGCTTTAGTGGAAGGTAAGGCTATTCCAGTCACTCACCTGCCTCACGGGACAAATACAGGGAATGGCGATTATTCCCAAAGGTGGCAAATGTCAGAAAAGCTCCCCTTGGGGAAGGAGGAGAGCATTTTATTTTAAGGAAATATTTTCTGGCTTTGGCTGTTGTTAAAATCTAGCTTGAACATACACCTGAGTTTCCTGTGAGTAAAAGGTGTGGTGGGAGCTGAGGCGCCCTTGAGTTTGGGGCTGACAGGTGGGCAGAGAGAAAGCAGCCCCATTCCTTCCTAGTGGTGGATGCTACACACATTCTGGGATTCAGGGTAGAACTGATGACGTGACCCAACAACGTTGTTAACCCTTGCTGGTTCACTACTTGGCAAATCTCTATAGAGCACCCATGATGCCCCAGGCCCTGGGAGAACTACGGAGATGAAAGGGCCACTCTCTGCCTTCTTGACTTGTAAAGACTTTTGGGCATGAGAGATGTGTTTCTTATCGGATATTCCCATAAATAAGCATTGGAGGAAAAACTGGGCCAAGGCCATGAAGCAGAAGTCAAGGCTTCAGTGAGCACTCAATGGGACCCCCATTTGAATCAGGCAGCCAGAGGTGGCTTCTCTGTGAAGGGGTTTTTGAGCTGAGCTCTGAAGGATTGAGGTGGAATTAGGCGATGAAGGGAGAGAAGGAAGTGCAGCTTGTGTGGAGGGATGGGGACAGGAGCCATTGTTGCATTTGAGGAGTTAAAGCAAACTAAATGTGGGCTAAGAAGGACTCCATACTTCCATATTTGAGTCCTTGTGGATAAACTGTACTCCACCTTAATAGTCAGACAAGGCCAGGCGCAGTGGCTCACACCTATAATCCCAGCACTTTGGGAGACTGAGGTGGGTGGATCATCTGAGGGTCAGGAGTTCGAGACCAGCCTGGCCAACATGGTGAAATCCCATCTCTACTAAAAATACAAAAAATTAGCCAGGCATGGTGGTGCAGGCACCTATAGTCCTGGCTACTCAGGAGGCTGAGGTAGGTGAATCTCCTGAACCTGGGAGGCAGAGGTTCTAGTGAGCCAAGTTCACTCCACTGCACTCCAGCCTGGGTGACAGAGTGAGACTATCTCAAAAAAAAAAAAAAAAAAGGAAAAAGATTGGAAAACTAACTTAGGAGTATGCACCTATAACAATAACTGAGTCAGCCAATCCCAGCAGCCATACTTCAACCGCTCATAGGCTGCTAAGTGTTTAAACTGTTCCAATAAGGCAAATGCCAAGCTGCAACCAATCCAGCTGTTCTGTACCTCATTTCCAATTCCTGCACATCATTTCCATTTTTGTGTCTATAAATCTTCTTCTGCCACGTGGCTGCACTGGAGTTTCTGTGAATCTGCTATGATTCTGGGGGATGCCTGATTGGCAAATTATTCATCGCTCAATTAAACTCCTTTACATTTAATTCAGCTGAAGCATTTCTTTTATCAGAGGATTTGGGAGAAGCGTTAAGGTGAGGGCAGAGACCCCCAGAGTGAGGCAGATAGAACATTCCAGAACTTGCCAAGATGGCAAAGGCTGACTTTCCAGGCACCAATGTGAGGTGGCCTATCCTCAGCATTCTCCACCGTGGCTGTCTCCTTTACCCTTTCTCTACCATCCCTGCTCTCAAGAAATGATCACAGGCCCTTGGCTTAAATTTAGAAAAAAAGTTCCTATTGTGTTCCTATGAGGGATAGAGATGAGCAAGAGGTGGTCTCTGTCCCAGGATGTTCACAGCCTCCTTCCCCTGCCCCTCAGAACCGTCTGCAGTACCCCAGATGCAAGGCCCACGAGGAGAATTATGGGAATTCAAGGAAGACCCCGAGGGAGGTGAGGGGAGGTGGCTTTCTGCAGATAAGAACCTGGGGATAGACTAAGGGAACCGCCTGGCACAGGCAGTCCCCTACCCCTTTCCAGAGAGCCTTGTCTTTCAAGCCTGATGTCTGGTGGGAGGACAAAAGGAATTTTAGGAAGCAGAGAAGAGAAGGCTTTTGGAAGTCCAGGGACCTCCAGGTGGAAGAAGAGCCTGTGCTCTTTGTAAACAGAGAAGCCTCTTCCCTCTGGTTAGGTTTTTTTCCTCCTGGGAGACCTGCCCTATGTTTTGAGGAAACCTGTCAGTCCAGGACTCAGCCTTATGGTGGACAAAACCAGAAAGGATCCTAAAGACTTTTTGAAGTAGGTGGGACAAAAATGCCACCGAAATGCCCTTTGCTTCTTATAATGTCTTTGAAATGCCTCTCAAATCTCCTTCTTTGGCCTTTAAGGCAGACAGACCTGTCTGTCACTCAGTCTGTCTATACCAAAGTTGTCTTCTCTTATAACGAATGCACTAATCCCCACCCCATTGTATGTTGTGGGAGCAAGGATCCCACAAGATTGTACATGTGAATGTAATCATAATCCCACCTTTGAGCATTTATTGAGAAGCAGATGATACAGAGACAGACAGGGACCCTCCTGACAGCCCTACAGTTGAGTTATCTTACCCTCCTGCTCTTCCAGATGAGGAAACCAAAGTAAGAGAGATTAATCCCTCACCAAGTCACACAGCTCACATCAGTGACTTCGCAGAGCTGCCCCCTTATGCTCTGTGCTATCCTAGGTTGTATTTCCAGGTGTAATTCTAGTGCTGTGAGCTTTTGCTCATGTGTCATGTGTCCAGGAAATTGATTTCTCCAGTCACTGGGGCCATTCTAAGAAGAATTTCTAACTCCCCCACCTCAGCTTCCTAGGTTCCATTTTACAGATGGGACGGGCATCACTGAGGGCAGGGGTGCAGAGAGAAGTGGGCAAGTGAATTACTCCAGCTCAGAAGGAGTGCTGGCAGCTTGGAATGGTTGAAGTGCAGACCGGGTTTCCACTCGGCTGCCCAGCCACACTCCTAGAGCCCAGCTGATAATTGCTCATTATGTGCTTAATCTGGGCACAGCCGGGCCTGGCAGCAGAATTGCATCACATCAAAGAGAGCTCTTCAAAGCAGCAGAAAGCTGGCCTCTGGGGTAATTAGCAGAGGGCCTATTCTTTCCTGCTTGGGACAGTTGGAAGGTTTCGGGCAAGGTCCAAACAGCATGAAGTGAAGCTCTGAGTCGTCAACTCTCTGGTGAACTCGGACAGGCGAGGCAGATGACTCAAATCATGCAGTTTATTTATTTTTTCTTTTATACACTGCTGAGACATTTTTTCTGCCAGCCTGGCCCAGATGCCCTGATCCACTGATTGTCCTCTGCCTCCTGGAACACCATATACCCTCTGTCTAGGCCGCCGTGTCCTGGGAGGAACGGAAAGAAAACACACATACACACATCACCACCATAACTCAAAAAGAAAACCTGGAAGGTGATGGAACCTTGCTTGTGCATAAAGGTGCTCTGAATCACGTCATCATGACTCAGTTTACCATTACCTCAGCTGAGCGGTCCCAGATGGCAGCCCTTGCTTGCAGAGTGTTGGTTCATCTGTCAAACTTAGGGGCAACAGGCCAGGCACCAGCTCTCTAAGAAAACCAAAGAGCGTGTCCGGTTGCTTGGCGTGACCTGCCTTCTCCCTCGCCCGGCTGGAGGGAGAGGCAAGATGATGTTATGTCTCTAATCCCATTTGCAGTCCTCTTTCACACAGCCAGGTATCCCACTGGCATGGCGTGGAAGTGCAGAAAGTGCTAAGAGACGTTATAATGGAGTCTGGTACCTCTTTTTGATGGCCTGTGGGGCACTCAGGCTAACAGCCTGAGTGAGTTTGACATACGAGCTGAACAGTGCTGAACTGGCCAGCGGGGTTCCAGAAAGCTACGGTGAGTCTGTGGCCGGGTGAGCACTGATTCCAGGACCACTTGATGCAGACGGACGTGGATGGTATTTCAGCCCGGCTTTAATAAATGACAGAGTTTTCACTTGCTTGGAAATTTGGATGAGAATAACTCTTACCCATCTCTTAGTCATATTTAAAGAATGGGCATTTTAAATGATGAGGTTATTGCAGTGGCAGCATTTCTCCGAGCCAGTGAGAAAGACATTCTCAGATGTTGAAGGAACCCATCAGACTGGGAAGTTGAGTGGGGGCCATGGTAAACAGGGTCTTTATTTCATGGAAATAATACCATGTACTTTATATAGGCTTATAACACAGACTTTAACATTGCCTTCATGTATAATTTCTGAGCATGGAATTTTGGGTATCAGTTCTTTTGTCAATAGCGGGAAATAAATAAGCAGACACTTCAAGATTTGGTAGAAAGAGTGGGCATTATTCCCCAAAGAGGGGCCCCTGTGACCCCAGGAACACATCCAGACACGATTGCTTCTAAGACAATTAAAATTATCCAGAGCCAATGTGGATTCCATTTTAGGAAGCTCTGCCCCTGGTATCAGGCTCTCCATCCCACGCTAGGCTCTGCACTCAGGTGCTGCTCCTACCTGGTAGATTCAGCAGCCTCATGCTGAAAATGGAAGCCTTTAAAATTGCTTCACAAAGCACCTGCAGCCCTAGCGAATCCTCAGGTGTGAATATACTATGCACCTGCTCAATGTTCCCTTGGTATTTGTGCTAACGCTATGGGAAATCATATAGAGTGCTTCTGGGAGTGGCATGGAATCATGGAAAGAGATGTATGACTGGGGTTCGAGCCTATCACTGACCAGCTGGCAGAACTTGGGCAGCTCAGCCCCAGTTTCCTTATCTTTAGGATGGAGATGGGGTGGAATATGTGGCTGAGGCTGGCATGACGTCGTCTGAATTGAGGATGCCTCCTCCCTGGTATTGCCATGGCTTCTGCCTTCTCCATTTGTGGGCACTGTCTACAAGACTTTTTCTTTCTCTTCAGTTCAGGTTCCCAGATGGCAAGATCTGAGCTGAACTCTTCTATGTCTCAGAACAAAGTGCCTGGCACACAGCAGGTGCCTAATACTTAGAAAATAAATAAATGAGTATCTATTTGCTCTACCTTGGAGAGAGGAGATATGCATGGATGAATGGGTACAGTCAGGACTGACTAAATAACTTATTGGCCAGTGCAACAGCAGAGCATAGAGAATGTGCAGGGCCCTTCTGAGTGCTGGGCTTTGTGCAGCTGCACAGGTCACCCCTTCATCAACGCCATCCCAAGTCCGCTGAACTCTGTGACTGAAGGATTTCCTAGGCTGCTGTCACCAAGTCCAACACACACTGAGTGGTTTGAGCAACAGAAATGGATTGTCTCACAGTTCCAAAGGCTGCAAGTTCAAGATGAGGGTATCAACAGGATTAGTTCCTTCTGAGGGCCTTGAGGGAGAATCTGCTGCAGGCCTGTCTTCTTGGCTTGTAGATGGATGGCCCTCATCTCCTGTGTCTTCACACCATCTGCCCTTCTCTGCATAGCTATGTTCACATACCCTTTTCTTAGAAGGACACGGGCTGTTTGATTAGCGCCCACCCTAGTTACTTCATTTTAATTCAATTACCTTTTAAAAGACCCTATCTCTAAATAAGGTCACACTACTATGGCACTGCGGGTTAGGACCTCCACATATGAAGCTGAAACAGGAAGTACAGTTCAGCTCATAACAGGCAGCATCAAACATAGGCTGCTAGCATTATAATTTCAAATTTGTCTTCATCCATAGAGCTGTGGGAAACATCTAGTTTTTTCTGATTATAAGAATACAATAAAGAAGTAAAGCTCACCATTCAACCCACCCCTCTGCAGTTAACATTTAGATGCCTTTTGTTCTTTCAGTCTTTCTTCAACATATGTGTGCCTAGATGGTACTATCTGAGACTGTGCCATTTACGATTTACTTTTATTTTTTCAGTTTAATCGTGTATCCCTCTCTCCCATCTCACTGTATATTTTGAATCTCTTTTTTAAAGAAAAGTTCTAACAGAAGCCATATCATATTCCAAACGCATTCATGGTTCTCAGGTAAAGTCACTTCCCAGTAACTTTTCTGCCTGGGTGGTCACACAAATGTGGCTACCTCTGGAGCTCACCTTTGGCCACTCCTCTAGACCACAGGGCCATGAGCCTACCCAGTCCTCGCCATCCAAGGCATTTCTTGAGACTCAGTTGGGTCAGCCATATGAAGCAGAAGGGAAAGGTTGAGGAATACGATTCTGTCATTGAAGAGGAGTTTTCATGTGTCCACAGTGGCTGAAAGCGGATTACTATGGATGCAATGGCTCAGCACTCATATCTTAATATAGTTCCCTCAAGAAATAGCCAGTACATCCGCCAATTATTTTATCTCTTTTAGGGATACTTTCTTAATTGTGGAAGAATCTAAAAATATAATTGGCATACTTGGTATGTCCTGTATCTTGTTTAGAAAGTTAGACCAGGAGAGAGAATGCAATTAAACTGTCAAAATGTAATTGTTTATCATATTTAATTTTAAGTGCTCATTCCAATTTACTTTTCATGGTTTTAGAGTTATAAGCAAAGAAAGTTGCCAGGACAACTGGTAGATACAAAATGAAGACTGGAGGCTCTGAGTGCTGGTAGCAGCTGAGAAGCTTCTACTCTCAAATTACTTTGCTTTAATAAAAGGATATGATGCTCAATTTCCTAGCTACCTGAAGCACAGAATTAGCTAGTTTCAGGCACAATGGGCTGTTTTGATTTAAGAAATACACCCTCAACTGGATAGTAACTCCAAATCCCCACCAGAACAATAACTCCAAATCCCCCCAGAACAAGTGTGCGTGTGTTGTGTGTGTGCATGCGTGCGCACGTGTGTGTGGGGGGGTGAGGGGGTTTCTGCTGTTTGCGCTGCTCTCTGCCTCTTTATAATTTAAGGATTGATCTAAACAGAATGAACCTCTCAGGCAATTCTTTCAAAGTGAAAAGTCACCCATCCACACTAAATGGTTACCTAAGTGCCATTTATTCTGGAAATGAGTACTAAACACTGATTTGGTACATTGGGTAAGGTTCCCTGGAGCTGGAGACAGATGCAACATGATTTTCCTCCTCAGGTAGCTCAGACACAAGTCAGGGAAACAAGCAAACAGACTGTTTGACTGCAGGTCATAAGTCCTGAGACAGAGGTAGGAAGTAATAGCTGTGTAATCACTAAAGAAGGAAAAACACTAGAACGGCTACACAGATTTGCTAGGATGAGGTGGGGACCTGTAATTCAACTCAGTAAGTCTTTGACTGTCTGTCATGCTCAGAGCACACAGCCCAGGCCCGGGATCAGAACAGAGCTTCTGCAATCAAAAGATTCAGCAAATGAAGGAGGTAAAATGAGGAAAAGGTGGCTGCTATGCCCACAAAGCACATCAAGATGAATAAAACATGGCCATGGTGCCTGACCTAAAAGGAGGTGGGGAGTGAAGCTTAGCGAGTGGGAAGGAGGGCTAGATTCATGGATCAAGTCATTTCTTTTTTCATTTTATTTCCTTTTTATTTAAGAAAATAGTGCATCCTAGAAGGACACAATGTCACCTATGTGGTATTATTGCCCAAAATGCATAATCTGTGTCTAATCATGAGGAAACATCAAACAAACCCAAAATGAAGGACATTCTGCAAAATAACTGGCATATAATTCTCAAAACTGTCAAGATCAAGAAATGCAAAAAATGTCAAGTTACTGTTTCATAGGAACGTGAACTATGAATGTTGAATTTCTTGATTTGGGTAAGTATATAATTTACGTGTTTAGGGGTAAAGAGGTGCAACGTCTCCAATTACTCTAAATGGGAGGGGGAAGGAGAAAATAACAGAGCACATGGGGTCTAATGTACTGAACTGGTGAATCTGGGTACAGGGCTATGGGTTTGTGGGAGTTTCTTGTTCTATCTTAGCACCCTCTCTGCAAGTTTAAAATTACATTAAAATACAAAGTTAAAAAATACAGTCCCATTTCAGTCATTTTGGAAAATTTAGAAAAGCACATGGCAGCTGATATGGTTTGGCTGTGTCCCCACCCAAATCTCATCTTGAGTCGTAGCTCCCATAATCTCCATATGTTGTGGGAGGGACCCAGTGGGAGGTAATTGAATCATGGGGGCAGGTCTTTCCTGTGCTGTTCTCATGCTAGTACGTCTCATGAGAGCTGATGATTTTATAAAGGGGAGTTTCCCTGCACAAGCTCTCTTGCCTGCCGGCATGTAAAACATGGCTTTGCTCCTCATTCGCCTTCTGCCATTATTGTGAGGCCTCCTCAGCCATGTGGAACTGTGAGTCCCTTAAACCTCTTTTTCTTTATAAATTACCCAGTCTCAGGTATGTCTTTATTAGCAGTATGAAAACAGACTAATATAGCAGCCAAAATAAAGGAAAATCTCATCCTTCAGAAACAACCATGCTGAACAATTGGTTTCCTCCCAGTCTTCTGTCTGTGTGTCTTTACATAGCTACAGTGTACTGCACAACCTGCTCACTGTGAGTCACATGACATGTTTTGAGCAATTCTGTGGTTATGGACACATCTCATCAAAGAGGTCTGACTTGCCTCCTAACATGTTTGGTTTGGCAGTAGGGATTATAATCCCGATGTGTGGGCGTTTAACACAGAGTTTTGGCGACAGCTGCTAACTTCTTTCACCATAATGGCCAGATGCTGATCGTGTCCTAACACAGACCCTGGAAGTGGTCCCCACACAATCCTCTGACTACAGATGTCTCTTTAGTCTTTGCTTTTCTTTGAAAAGCAATTGAAATGTGAAACTTTAAGTTCCTGGTCTTCTCTCAGAGCCATTCTTAAAGCAATGTTTCTTAGTACTATTGATGTTTTGGGCTGGACCATTCTTTTTTGGGGTGCCCTGTCATTGCAGGATGTTTAGCAGCACCTCTGGCCTCTCCCCGCCAGATGCAAGGAGCATTCCTACCTATTTTTTCCCCGAGACATTGCCAAGTGTCCCCATTTGAGAACCACTACTCTAAAGGCAGGTACAAGAGTGGAGATGGGACCCACTTCATGGCCTCCTTTCCTCATTGGAATGGGTGGGGTTGAATCAAAGGGGAGAAAGAATCCTGAGACCAGGGCTTAACTTCTGACCCAGCTTCCTCAATGGTTCAATGGAGTTAGTATTAACATCTATCCTGCCTACCTCTTAGGCATTTACACGATTAATTTTCTGCAATGAATCTATACAGGGCTTGTACAGAGTTGGTTAATGCAAAATATTTTAGGGCTCTCCTGGCATGACAATAAAACATACAGTAAGGCCACTTTATAAACTTACTTAAATGATCTCAAGAGTTTATTATTCTTATCTCCAAGTTGCTTGGTGGTTCTAAGTTATCTACAGATCTAGAAAATTGTGTCAGGGACAGAGAATATCATGTGTTCACCAAGCCCATTTTGTTTTTCTTCTGGATGCACAGGAAAACTTACTTCCCAGCCTCCGTTGCAGCCAGGTGGGGCCGTGTGACTGAGTTCTGGCCAGAGGACTCTCCGTGAAAGTGAAGTTGCTACCTCCAGGACTGGCCCAAAACCTCCTGCCCAGGCTCAACACACTCTTTTCATCCATTAGCCAGATGAGGTCCATCATCCAGAGATGATGAAGCCACTGGATAGCAGGAGCCTTGGCCCCTTCCCACAGATTGTAACAGAAACAAGAAATAGAACTTAGTTGTATTAGGTTAGCTACTATTTGTGAGGTTGTTTGTTACATAGTGATTTACCTACCCTGACTAATATAGGTGTACCAGAAATCAGCATTGAGAAAAACCCCATGGAGAAAGTAGAATAAATCAGATTCTCTGAAAAGTCATTCGTTGGCAGAGTCCCTGGACTTGTATGAGTAACCAGGAGATTCCTGCCTCTGTGCCTTTGGTCATCTCATTCTTACTCCTGGAATTCCTCCCCTCACTACAGCCTCCATTCATAGCAATGTTGTTTATTCTTTCCGGTCAACTCAAAGACCACCTCTTCCAGGAAGCATTCCCTAACTGCCTGGTGAAGAAGTTATCTTGCCGTCCCATGAATCCCACTTCCACTCTATAACACTCCCATTTTTATAGCTATTTTTCAAGCTTTCCTTTGTATCAGAATTGACCATTTTACGGGCATATTACCCCTCCCCCCCACCACCCTGCAACCTGCCAAGTGCCAATTATTCCCCCTGCCCTACTGCCTATGAGGATTATCATAGGCCCCTGAGGAGACAGTTGAATAATGAGACATGACTCTCATCTGGGAAGTGGGGAAGAGGATGGAATGAGCTAACCCATGGAGAGCACTCAGTACAGTCGATCTTTGGCATGTGCTTTAAAACACTCATGATCATGATTTGGGATCAAACCCATGCATGCTTCACCCCAACCAAGAGACACAAGAAAATGCCATGTCAGACATTGATGGAGATGGAAGGTGGAGATTGTGAAAGAATGAATCACCATCAGCAGGTACAATTAGAATTTTATTTGGAGTGAAAAAGCTGTGATTTTCCAAGGCTGCATCAGACGACTTCCCGCTATCTAACACTGGGCTTCAAATAGCTGTTCATATAGCCCTCAGAGTAGGATAAATCCTGTAAACACCTCCTTTAATACCCTTTCAGAAAAAGTAGCATAGCCTTATTAAAATATGATTTTTTTCACCCTTATGTTTAACAGGTATGACTATATTTTCACTAAAATATTTATTGTCAGTTGCTTCCAAGACAGACAGATGGACAGCCTGCAAACGGGTTGCTGGCTTCGCTCTTTAATGACCAAAGAGCAGCCTTGTACTTGATTGCTGTCCTTATCCATTGAATGGCTTGGGGATGTCAGTGTGACACACAGACTTGATTCACTTTCAGACCCTGGGGACCCACAGGGATGAGCAGAACATTGGCCTTAACTTGCAAAACCCTAGCCAGCCCAGTTACCTCTTGTGTTCACCAGCTCTATTTCTTTTCCAACTAAGACATTATTTCAAAGGGATGTCAACTAAAGGAAGTGTAGACTCCTGGCTAAATACCTGTCTCCTGGTATGTTTTTAAATAGTGGTACCAGCTATTTGGCCAGTCAGACATAGTATTGAACTCTGGCATTACCACTTACAGCTGTGTGACCTTGAGCACATACCTTAAGCTCCGTGAGCCTCAATCCTAACTCTAAAATGGGAAAATAGTTTCAACTCCACCTAATTATTGTGAAGATTAAGAGGATGAATTTAAGGCTGACTGCAGAGGGGCTAGCACATAGTGAGTGGTTAGCAAAGATTGTTATCATTGTTGCTGCTGCTATTATCACTGATATTTGTTGTGTGAAAAAGCACATGATGCTCTTGTGCCCCTGAGGTTATACGCATTGGTGCTTGTAGTTGAGAACTGCCTGGGTGTACATGCACGCTTATATATGTGCTTGTGAATGTGCTGGCGCACACACACACACACACACACACACACACACAGAACAGAGTCTTTGCAGGATGCCTTGTCATGCTTCTCTGGCTTCTCAGTTGCACCAACCTGGCCAGCAAAGCTTGGATTTCTCTCGCATGCTCTTCGACCATCTGCACTCCCTTTGGCACTTCATTACCTTTCATCCCTCTGGTTATTGTAGCAAAGTTATCTCCCCTTCCACACCATCTCTCTCCTCACCGTCCACTCCAGCTCTCAGCAGCCCATAATCTTCCTGTCACACTTCATATGTCCATTCCTGTCTCCACACACTGTGCTTCCCCCCAGCTCACTCCAACTCTCTTTCTGGAGCTCCCTCTTTTCCCCCTTCTTGTTTTCTCATCCACTCCACCATTTCAATGTGGCCTCCATAAGCCTTTCCCTTCCATACCCCTGAAAGGTGCAGGCATCTTCCTGCCAGCTCTCCCAGCTGTGTTTTTCCTCCCTGGGCTCAGCTGGTCTGATGGGTCCCACAGTTTTGCTGGCAGAAGTCCACTGTTTGCATCTCACCTGGTCTGTTTAAAGCCCTAAAGAGCTGGCTTGCTACTTTTAATAAAAATGGCTTACATTTATTGAGCCTTTATTATGTGACAGCACATTGCCTACATTATCTTGTGTAGAAGTGTGGCAGGCACTACTGTTGTCCTAACTTTGTAGGTGACAGCAGGGAGGCTCAGAGGGGCCAAGGTGCTTGGCCAAGGCCACAGGACGAGTAAGTGGTGGAACAGGGATATCAATGTGGTGTGCCTGACTCCAGGACCTCATTCTTAAACCCAGGCAAAATCCCATCATTAAGATGGTGGAACAATCAAGATTTTCACTCTCCTTGTGATATAGTTTGAATGTCCCACCAAATCTCATGTTGAGATGTAATCTCCACTGTTGAAGATGGGGCCAGGTGCAAGATGTTTGGGTCATGGGGCAGATCCCTCATGGCTTGGTGCTGTCCTCAAGATAGTGAGTTCTCTTGAGATCTGGTTGATTAAGTGTGACACCCCTCCCCCGACTTTGTTCCTGCTCTGCCATGTGAGATACCAGCTCCCCCTTTGCTTTCTGCCATGATTATAAGTTTCCTGAGGCCTCCCCAAAAGCCAAGCAGATGCCAATGTCATGCTTCTTGCACAGCCTGCAGAACTGTAAGCCAATTTAACCTTTTTCTCTGTAAAATTACCTAGTCTCAGGTATTTATTTATAGCAATACAATAATAGCCTAACACACCTCATTCCCTGTGCATGAATCAGCTGTGCATGGAAGTGGTGCAAGCAAAGAACTGATGCAACCTCAGAGGTGCCTTCTCCAGGAGCCCTTTCTAACATCTTGCCTGCTCCCTAACCTGTTAGCTAAGTCATTCCCACCTGTCTACATGATTGTAATTATTTCTTTACCTGCCTTTCTTCCCTTCTGAACTGGGAGATACTTGGCATTCAGCCTATAGTAGGTGCTTGAGAAAGGCTTGTGATATGAATGAATGAATTTACTGGAGATGGTGTCAAAATACAGGGTTCAAACCCCTCCTTACCCTCAGGCTGGTTTGCTCATCAGTTTAGCTCCAACTCCCAACTCTCCATCACAAAAATGTCAGCCTGGAATTTAGTCGTGGGAATTTCCCCAAGGCGGGTGTCACAGGGGTGTGTCAATCACCTCCTCTTCCAAATCCTGCAGCCCAGAGCTGGCAGCAGCCTCTCTCCAAGGCAGGGCAGGCAGCCTCACTCCTGGCCTGAGAGTCAAAGCCAGAACAATGCAGGAGTCCTGGGATGGCAAGGTGGGTGACAGCCATTGCTGTGGGCCACAGGATTTGAAGGGAGTTCTGTGTGCATTGGGTCAGGTTTCCTGGTGGTGGGGTGGCCACCCAGCCCATTAGATTTTCCTAGGGACAAGGTGGTTGTGTTGCTCCATTGGCAAATATGTCAACAGCTGAGAGCTATGAGCCAGCAGGTGTTCTTGCTTTGTATACACTGTCTTATCTCATCCTCACAACACCTATGAGACACGTGTCATTAGGCCATTTTGCAGATGAGGAAACTGAGCAGCAAAAGGTAAATGACCTGTCTGAAGCCAATAAGCCAAGAAGGGGCAGAGTGTGGTCTAAGACTAGCTTGGTCAGATGCAAAGCCTATATCACATGGCTCCAGAGAAGAAACAGACAGCCTGGGACTGAAGGGCACAGATGGTATTCACTAAGCCATTGGTGCTCAGGCTCCCAGCTGACAGCATCGTGACAAGGTAACAACTTTGCATGGCTGGGTAGCAAAATGGTAGCCACTCTCTCTGTGGGTTCTGTGCCTGAATCCCTTCCTGAGCTCAACCACACAGAAGTTATTTTCTTTACACCCATTTGGGTCAGGGAGTATGCAGGGCACATCAAAGTGAAAACCACCAGATTGTAGGCTGGAGTAGGAGATGACAGAGAAATATGAGAAAAATGTAGCAAGTCATCCCCTGCTGTGGGCCCAGAGGAGAGAGAAGTTAATGCCAGCAAGGGCTCTGGAAAATCTTCCAGAAACAGGTGGCAGCTGAGGTGGGTCCTAGAGGATGGCAGATTTCGGATCGTTTGCTCCAAGGGTTGCACCTGGCTTGGTACCATTGGGTCCCAGACATCATGCGTTGAAAGCGCCATGCCCAGGCATTTAGGCAACAACACACAATTTTCGGTGTCACGAGCCTTTCTTCCAACAACTCCCCTGAAGCACTGTGGGGTAGTGACATGGGGCTCCCACTGAGTAGGTACACTGAGTAGGTCCTAAGCCTTCCTAGCTATGTGATTTTCTGTGCCTCAGTTTCTGCATCTGTAAAATGGGACCAATACTAATAGTCCCTACTTCTAGGGCTTAGCGCACAGTAAGTATTGATTAAATCAAAGGATTATCAGCATTACTCATCATTATCATTTCTGCAGCCAGCTTCCTGGTGGAATAGGGAGGCTCAGTTGCCATAGAACAAATCCTAGCCTCAATTTCCTCCACTGGGCATCTTTAACCTCCACAGCACCTTTGTGTCTGAGGCTGCCTTCTGTAATTGTAGGGTGGATTATATGTGCTCCATAAAAGGCTGTGTGTACAAAAGCAGAGCTAAGAGGACAGGAGACAGATGCAGACCGTTGTGTTGGCTTCCTAGCCAGGAGGGATTTGATTTTTTAAAATTTATATTATCTTAAATCTGATCTCACCAGTAACTGGGTGACTTCAGGCACCTTATTTTTATTAGCCTCAGTTTTCTCTTAACCCCTAGGGGTTAGGGAACATACACGAAATATGCATGTCAATTTCTGGCATGGTAAGCTGCATGTAGAAAGCATTTGGTGTGCTAGCTGCTATCTTCTTCCTCCTCATCCCTGGCCCTCCTCCCATTTTCTCTTCCTCTTCTTCCTCCTTCCTCCTCCTCCATCTTCTCTTTCTCCTTGCTGAAAGCCTCCCCTCTTTTTGGTCCTGGATTGGTTAAAAGTTTCAATAGTTCCCTAAGGTGTCCTTCCTTAGGCATTATAAGTGGCAAGCATGATATCAGGTGGCTTTCCATGGCTGACCATCTGACTATGAGAAGAGGATAATAAAAGACCCTTGGGTCCTTGGCTGGGCACAGAGCTCTTCAGATCTGAAAGGAGGAAGTTGAGAGTAAACAGGGGCTGCATCTTGGGTGGTGAAACTCTCTAACCCATGTCTTAGAGAAATTGCAGCTGTCAGGACCACGGAGCTCCCATACCAGGGAGAGATGCTTGTGGTCAGAGGCTGCAGTGATGCAGAAAGGTGACATAACTCAACTTGGAATGATTTGCAGTTATGCCCATGAAGAGGAGAGCAATCACTCCCAGGGAAAGTACACTTTTTCTCTGGTGCTGGTTGCTCTCCTTATCCTATAGCAATGTCTGCATGTTGGTTCCTTTTCATTCATTAAGCAAATGTTTAGCCAGTGTCTGTTATGTATCCTAGGTAACAAAAATAAACCAGAGACTAAAATAGATATAGATTCTGCCCCTACTGGAAGATCTATTGGGGACACAGACACACACACAGACACACACACACGTATACAAACATAACTATATAATTGCAAATAGTAACAAATGCTGCAAGGGAAACAGACAGGAAATAGACAAAGTTAAACACCCTAAGGGGAGGGGCACCTATTGAAGTAGTCAGGGAAGGACTCTGGTACTTGGTGACATTGAAGCTGAGAGCTAAAGGATGAGAAGGGACACATGGCAGGAAGAAAGGATGAACTGAGCCAAGGAAACAGAATCACCAAGCCCAGCCATGGGTCAGGGAAGGGGTGGGTGTGCTGGGGAGACCAAGAGACAGAGCGTGGAGGCAGAAAGAGAAGCCGTTTTGCAGAGCCCTGGAGGCCATGGCAAAGCGTCTGCATGCCGTTCTCAGCGGGGCTTGGGGCAGGCGCAGCAGGATTTTAAGTAAGGAATGACATGGATGTCAATGAGCAGGTACAGCTGCTCCCAGGCAATGGAAACTGAATTTCGCTGCTCTCTGGAGGTGGTTCTCAGAACCTACTTGGTACATTTGGAAGATGTGAAGGGCACTGGGGCAGGTTGTGGTAAGAATATCTTAAAAACATTTGATCTCATCCATCAGAGAGCAAGGGTTTGCAAGGGGTGGGGACAAGTGGGCTATCTAATCCAGGTGAAGACTCACAGTGCTGAAATTCCAGGTGTGTCTGCTAATTGAACACTTGAGTAGCACTTACTACAAGCTAGCACATCCCTATGGGGTAGGTAGAGTTGCTAGAGAATGCTGTCATTTTTCTAGAGGAAGTAGAAACCTTATTTATGAGCCTCACCCATTTGGAATTTAGAATCTACTTCTCAGAGGTTCTGTGAGGCTAACAGGAAGTGATGAATGCTATAATGCTGGTATCATTCTTAAGAAAGAGCCATTTTCCACCCTGCTTTTTTTGTCTATAGAAAACAGTTTTCCAGGCAAGGAAAAAAAAGAAAAAAAAAAAAACCCAAACCATGTAATTAGAATTATAGGCAATTTCAAACTTAGTTTAGGCACACATTTCAATCCTGTTGCAAACACCCATTCAGCACAATTGCCAGGCTAATTATAAATCATTCCTCTTTATTCATTAAACCAGAGTCCCTGAAGGTCCCCACAGAGGCGTGTTCTATTGGATGGATTCAAGGCCCTCTGTGTTTGGCGGACCTCCTTTGTCGTCTGGTGTTGGGGGACAGGCCTAACAGGTGTTTTACAGCTCAATCAGGCCATATCAGGTTCTTATTGAAAATGCTTAAATTTCAGAAAACACAGTTGGTCTCACACTATAGCCAAAACCATACCAGGCAAAGAGATGTTGTCACAGGGGCCTTTGAACTCAAAAGGATAAAATGTGTCTTTCTTTAACATCAGCTGGAATTGAAAAGGTTAGAATGTTTAATGATTTTTAAAAACTGTTACTTTTTTGTGATTGAGAAGATTTCCTCTTGGGAATGGGCTTGAGTGAAAGCTCTTAACCACAGACTAGATCTGAGATTATATTTTCAATACCTACCAGAAATTAGCTGTTGCAGCAGATTTGCATGAAAAAAATATGAATATGGGGCTTTTGTTAAATTGTAGAATTTTAAAACATTGTAGTAGCTTTGTGATAGAAAAAAACAACTATGCCTAAAAATATTATTTAAAAATGTAAACATATAATGAACTTCAATGCTTCAATACATGGTTCAGCCAGATTAATTCAAATAAATTTACATTGGTCACAATATTTACATTTAAGAGGCATAATTTTCTGAATGCAATAATGATGCGAAAAAGGGAGTTTTGAGGTCCTTGGAGGTATTTTTTCCAACACAATCTTTGTGAAGTCTTGCCTAAGAGTCTTTCTTGATAGTTATAAAAGAAATGGTATAACCCTCACAGGGTCACAGCTCTGACATCCCTGTTTCATTGGAGGGAGAACATGTGGCCCTCGCCTTTAGGGTGTTTAGAGGGCAGGAGAGGCAAGTCAGAGGAAACAGACACTCCAGACTCCACTCTGCTCCATTATGGGACCACATTCTCAAAAACACTCGTGTGTGCATGTGTGTGTGTGTGTGTTTTGTTTTGTTGTTGTTGTTGTTTTAACCAATGCTTTTTGGAATGACATGATGACATTGCTTAGCTTAACTGAAACTTAGAATGATTTCCTCACTGGCCAGGAATGATAGAATGAGATTCAGTTGTGAGTTCTGGCTTTCAAATGAAAGCTGGCTTGCTTAGAGATAGGTAGGTTTGCTTATCTGTCAATGGGCCAGTGAACCTGGCCCAAATGCAAAGGAGGCAAAACAAAAACAATGATAGAGAAAGAACAGAGATATAGACCAATTGGACAGAATATAGAGTGCAGAAACAGATCCACACATACATGGTTGATTGATTTTTTTGACAAAGGTGCAAAGGCAATTCCATGGTGAGAGGATGGTCTCTTCAATGAATGGTGCTAGAGCAATTCAATATCTATGTAATAAAAATGAACCTCAATCCTTTCATGGCCTAACATTCCATGCAAAACTGACTTAAAACAAATTATAGATCTAAATATAAAATATACAACTATAAAGCTGTTAAAAGATATCAGAAGGACGTCATTGTACCATAAAACCATCAAGGCTTTATTCATTGGGCAGAAAATATTTTTTAGGTACAACACCTAAAGGGTGATCCATTAAAGAAAAAAATAAATTTGATCTCATCAAAATAAAAACTTCTGTTTTTCAAAAGACAGTTAAGAAAATGAAAAATAAAACCGCCACACATCAGGAAAAAAATATTCGCAAATGACACACCTAATAAAAGACTTGTATGCAGAGAATATATATAAGAAACTCTCACATCTCAGTGAGAAAAAAACACCTAGTTTTAAAAAATGGACAAAATATTTGAACAGAAACATTAACAAAGAAGATATACAATGCAAATACAGTTACAAAAATATTTAAAATAATTAGCCATTAGGGAAATGTAAAGTGAAACTATAATTTAGATACCTCTACACACTTCTTAAAATGGCTTAGAAAACCCTGACATACCAAGTTTTTGTAGAGATACATAGAACTAGAATCCTCACATATTGCTAGTTGGCATAGAAAATGGGGCATCCACTTTGGAAAGCAATTTCATAGTTTCTTGTTATGTTAAACACACATTTGTCAGATGACTCAACAATCTTACCCACTCTTAGGTATTTACCCAAGTGAGAGGAAAATTTACATTTGTACAACAACTCTATGTGAAACTTTATAGAGGCTTTATATATAATCACAAAAAGCTGAAGACAATTCAGATATTCCTCAACTGTGGAACAGATATCAGAAGATCCATACAATGGGTGACGACATTAAAGGTACACCAGATAACATCACTCATCATGTCCCATGAATATCATGAGGTGCCCACTGATGCAATGGGGCATCTCACCTCTGTGGTGTTCTCCCAGCCAAACCCTTACTCTAATGGAAGAAAATGTCAAACAAATGCAAACTGAGAGACATTCTACAAAACCCTGACCAGTGCGCCTCAAAACTGTCAAGGCCGTGAAAAACAGAAAAGACTGAGAGATGGTCACACTTTTTCGGGAACAAAGAAAGGACATTAATGAAAAAAAAAAAGCTGGCAGTATTCAAATAAGGTCTGCAATTTAGGTGAGAGTAATACATTAATATTCGTTTCATAGTTTAGAGAAATGTATCATGGTAACATGATGGTAACAGTAATAGAACCTGAAGCCACGTGAAGAGTCTTTAGGAACTCTGTATTTTTTACAAATTTCATAAATCTATAATTATTTCTTTTTTTGTTATTTTGAGACAGGGTCTTGCTGTGTTACCCATGTTGGAGTGCAGTGGTATGATCACAGCTCACTTCAGCCTTGACCTTCTGGGCTCAAGCAATTCTCCTATCTCAGCCTTCTGACCACCTGGGACTACTGGTGCATGCCACCACACCCAGCTAATTTGTTTTGATATTTTGTAAAGGCAAGGTCTCACTGTGTTGCCTAGGCTTGTCTTGAACTCATAGGCTCAAGCACTACTTCCACCTCAGCCTCCCAACGTGTTGGGATTATAGGAGTGAACCACTGCACCCAGCTGCTAGAATCATTTCACACTAAAAAATTATTTAAAAATAAGTATGCCAGGTCCATAGCAGGCACTCAATAAATGATGACTATTACTATTCTTTTGACGAGAAAGCATTGGTAGGAAAAGCAAATGATAAACTGCTACCTTACATTGCATAGCAATTCATAGATGGTAAATGGATCCTACCAACATTATTTCACATATTGAGTCATAACAGCTTAGAGCTAGAAAAGATAAAAGTATTATCTGGCCCAATCCCCTCATTTTCTAGGTAAACAAACAGAAGGCCAAGAAAAAGAACCAAGAAGAGGAAAAATAACTGTAATGTTGCAATAACAGAAATAATAGCAAGAGTTTTTTAAAAGTTATAGTAACAACAGCAAATAACACCTCTATCTCAGGTACTGTCTTAGGAGCTTTGTGCCCATTTATAAAAACTCTACAAGACACATTTTCTAATAGTCTTTATTTTACAAAGAGGGAAGATGAGGGTCAGAGAGGTTAAGTAATATGCACAGGATCACACAGCTAGCAAGTTGCAAGGCTGGACTTTGAATCAAGGAAAAGAAAGGGAACCTTTCTTTTGGGCACCTACCACATATTCACGGGAGTCCCCAAACCCGTATGGGTCCATGGCCTGTTAGGGACCTGACTGCACAGCGGGAGGTAAGCAGTGGTTGCATGAGGGAAGTTTTATCTGTATTTACAGCCACTCCTCACTGCTCCTGTTACTGCCTAAGCTCCACCTCCTGTCAAGATCAGTGGCAGCATCAGATTCTCATAAGAATACGAATCCTATTGTAACTTCACATGTGAGGGATCTAGGTAGGGTGCTTCTTATGAGAATCTAATGCCTGATGATCTGTCACTGTCTCCCATCACCCCCAGGTGGGATTGTCTAGTTGCAGGAAAACAAGCTCAGGGCTTCTGTTGTTTCTACATTATGGTGAGTTGTACAATTATTTCCTTATATATTACAATGCAATAATAATAGAAATAAAGTGCACAATAAATGTAATGCTCTTGAATCATTGCGAAACCATCCTCCCACTGCCTGGTCCATGGAAAAATTGTCTTTCACAAAACCAGCCCTTGGTGCCAAAAAGTTTGGGGGCCGCTGATATAGCAGTCCAGGTGCCAAATATCTCCTTAACCTTAACTCACTGAACTCCTTACAGATCAGTACCTTTATCCCAAATTCACCCATGGGGAACTCAAGGTTTATGTGACTGTCCTGCCACAAAGCTGCCAGATGGCAGAGCTGGGACTTAAAGTTGGCTCCCAGTGCCCTTGGCTATAATTGGCTTAAGACTCGTAGAATAGGCAAGCAAGAGCAGACTGAAGGCCTTGCCTTTTCATTCACTTTTTATTCTCTATTCAGGACAGCTTAGCTAACCTAGCTGTGCAGCTTTTACAGTTTTCTATTTTACATGCAGAAAAGACATCTTCTATCTCTAATTCCTTAAGACTCGGGGAACTGACCGAGGGCTTTTCAGATCTCCAGGACACAGAATGACAAGCATATCCATTTTCCAAATTTCCAAATTCATCCAATACCTATATTAACAGAGTCAGTAAGATGTTAACATACAACAATATTAGCTGAGGCTGATGTCTAATGCTCTGGCCAAGCCCTTACTGTCCACGGCCAAGAGGGTATGAAAAGTGTAACATGTATTTAGACATATTGGGAAAAAGTACAAAGCAATCATCTGTTTGTATCCCCCTCCCATATGTGGCCACAAATGGAACACATTGAAAAGGTCATGAGAGATCAGGAGATTTAGTGAACTGGGCACAATACGGCTTTGTGGTCCAGTTTATTTTCTCATGACAGTGTAAAATATAGATTGAGATCAACTGAAATCCCTCATATTTGGTTTTATAGCTTAAATTCATAAATTCTCCACATTCATTAGAAAGTGATGTATTATCTGCACCCACTTGAAAAGATAATATCCCAAGGGATGGATACAAGAATATTAAAAAAAATTCCTGATCAAAGAAATATTGCTTCTTTCTTCCTTTCATTGAGCAGATGTGCAATGTGTCCAGAGAAAGAAATAGAGAAATTCCTGAGTGATTTATTTGATGAACCTAGTTTTAACCGAGGTTATTGCATGCCTGATATCATGACGGGGGTTATTAGTTTCTAGTTGAAAATGACCAGAGAGAGTCCCGTTCACTTCATCAATATGGTCCATTTATAGGTTGTCAGGGAGGCGACACCATGCAGCCAAGGCACTTTGTCTTGGAGTTATTTCTCTATTAGATGCTTGCTTGTCTCCATCATGAAAACTTCTGGCTATTTAAGAAAACCCAGACCAGGGAAGATATGTCTGTTCTATCCCAGCATTTAAGACATTAAAAGCAGATGCATCACTTAGGAAAATGAGTCTTTTATTCAAAGAGGCACCACAAAAGCCCTTTTGCCACAGAAAAATGAAAACAGTTAAAAAAATGAA